CTTCGGCGGTTCATTATTGATATCAAGCGCAGGATCCTGCTGGTGCTTTCTAGCGTGAGGGGACTGGACAACATGGTTGCCCAGCTTTGCGACGGCGCCTTGGTGTGTGACTCTTGTCTGAGCGCTGATTATGGGTTAGGCCAGATTAATGGGCTTGCTAATGGGATCAGTCGCTTACTTCGGCGAGGTCTGCTTTGTTTCACGACCTCTTGTACCGATGACACCACCGCCACGGCCGGTTGTTTTGGAGCCTCTCGTTGATGCAGAGCGGCCGCTCGGAGCACGTCCCGCAACCTGAGGGAAACTATCATTCTTCTTGGTGGATTTTGAGTAAGACTGGCCACCGCTCCCTTCTATCACGGCGCGCAGTCCAAGACGGTGGCTCTGGCCGTTCAGAAGATGGTCTAAAGGCTCTTGATCAGCCGGGTCGCCTAAATCCTTGTGTGCATCTTTCACAAATCTTAGCCAATAGTCCGGATAATTCTTTAATGTAGTGAGAAACTCACTTGCCCAAGCGTTAAGGCGTGCTTGATTCGCTTGGGCCAGACGCGCAGCGTCTGATCCAGCAACATTTATCATTCGCGTGGCTTCGATATCCTCCAAGCGAATATTCCTGAACTTCTTGGTGTCAACAGTCGAGATATACTCTCTTCTAAGCGTCCCAAGGTCCTCCTATATACAATTCAGTGTTAGTCAGACTCTCCTACAAGCATCTTATGACGGTATCAATAAGGCGCAATTATCTTACCATTTGAAGCCTCTTTAGGCGCTCGATTGCCTCTTCGTCCATGATGACTTGCTCAAATCTGCAAGATATGAACGTACTAGAATGGAAATGTGCAAGCAAAATTGCAACAGACGTATGTTTCCAGAGCCAGAGACGATGAAGAGAATGAGTGAATGTAGCAAGGCACAACAGGGGAACTAACAGAGGGCCCACTCTCTGTTGATAAGAATCGAAGTGAAAGTAATACCGTCGGTCAAGATACAAGTAGTGCAAGATCTTCTAGTTGTCAGTTCAGAGTCAGAAGATACCTGAAGGTCAACAAAAACTCTTCCAATGTTTAGTAGGAGTCTGTAGGAAATGTGACTATCCTCTTCATGATTATGGGGGTTTAGAAGTAAACCGAGGTAATGGAACAATGAACTGCTTCAAAGACCAGAGAATTGTGCAGGGGAAACAAAGAGGGGAGGGTAGTGTGAGAGAAAAGAGAAGAAGAAAAATAACAAAGAAGAAATTGTGTTGGGGATGTTGCTACGGCGTCAAGTGCAAACGCAACTATTGGACTAAAACGGAAGGACTCTATTGATTGTATGTAGACCGCTGTGTCTCTCTAATCATAAGTCTCAGTTCAAAAGCAGTTGGACAAGGATTAGTGTCATACTCAGAGCATTCCAGATCACATCAGATGCCAATGGAGGGCTCAGAGGTGATGTGTCAAAGAATCAACTTCACTGTATCTGGAAGGGAAGAATACCTGAAACTGGAGACTCTTCAACACTACAACGAGGCCCTTCCTGTCATGTCAGTATCACTCATCAGTAAGAGTTCAGTGTATTTGAAAGTAAGTCGGTATATGTACAACAGTCCCAAGACCGAGAGAGACGTCTATGGGCCGATCACAGGTGCAGTCGTATATTTAGACAGGCATTACTACTTGCTAAGCACTGCAAGTCCTCGTGCCACCCTCGTCTACGCAGGGGATTCTCCTGTTAGCGGATCTGACCTCAAGAAGATCAACGTCAAGGGCCCAAACTCACTGCTTATCATCTTTGCAACAGCTTGCAACAGGCTGACTCCCATAACTGTGATACCAAAGGCGATACACAGATATGCGGGAACCTTAGATTTCCAACTCGCATTGCTTAACTTCACGTAACAAAGCGGAGGAAATATGTACGCCAAAGCAGCTGCACTTGTTGCGCCAATGAGCTCGAATACAGCCCCAAGATCACAAGTGAACAATGCCATAGCCATAGATGTTACTACCAGAGATGTCGTGAATATTAAGTGTCGATTCATATTGAAAGGTTCGTCGGGGAAGTAGTAGGTCGTCATGACCGACCGACAAACAAAGGCTTCAAGGGGCAGCGTTGTAAGCATATTCAGGCCAAAGCAACTGCGGACAATTTGATGTTAGGTTAAGCAAGGGTTGTTAGTCGTATGGAGGAGGTCTTACAGCCGCGCGATATTGACCATTATATTATCAGATGGGAAGTTGTTGAGGACATTGCCTTGGGTCTTGGATCCGAAGAAGAGGAAGCCTGAGATACCCATAGCCAAGCACATACAAAGGGAGACGGCGGTTGAGTAATGGGTTACTTTTGCGAAGCGATCCATGGTTGGCTTCTTGAGAGAACCATAAATTAAGAGACTATTGTGGTCTTTGGACGGTCAGTCAGGGTCTTGCGGATTATGTATATGCGGTGGGCAACATACGGCAAACGAAGGCTATGGTCTGTTAGACAATTAGAACTTCAGGTTCTTCGGGCAAGGCAAACTTACCGAAAGATATCACTCCCGCGGCCTGGAAGAAACCAGAGTTGATAAAAAGTAGGCTCTTCACCTCGCCACGAGATTCCGAGGGAACTCGGAATCCCTGGGTGATTACAGCAACGACAATCACCAACATACTTATGAGCGCTAACGCAGACGCCTTAGCCAGCTACTACATTGTTAGCCTCGGAGATGTTCGTCCGCTGCATAGAGAGATTAGAACCGCACCTTGGCAATGTCCCGGTACAGAGATAATGGGTATGAGACTCCCAGGACAAAAAGAACAATGATAGCTCGCCTGTCCGTAAGGAGCCAGAGGAAGGACATATCTCGGAGAGAAGGAAATACAGAGCTGAAAACATGCGGTATAGTATCACCCACAATTATGCAGAATGCAATCATGCCGCCAAAGGCAAAAGCCCACTGAGCGACGGAGATCGCAATGAGACCACTTTTCCCGAAACAATGCTGCATCGTTGCTTGGAAGGAATCCGCGCCGCTCAATTTAGAATTGACCACAATCAAGCGAATCGTCCAGTCCACTGCCACTGTGAGCGCACATAAGAGCAAAACTCCCATAGTCATGCCCGCCTGCCGAAGTGCATAGGGTTGTCCAATGATACCAGCTCCTATAATGCTGTTGGCCATATTCATGAAGGCCATCCGCATTCCGCTCCTCGGCCTCGCGTTCTCAAGGTGTTCCTCAGGGAAGAAATCATCGGAGGTCGCAAGGGTTACACTGGGGGCCTCTATATCTGTCAAAAGAGGAACCATCTGACCTCTGCCATTTCTTCCCGATCGGCTCGCATTTGGCCGCGCATAATCCTCCTCCTCCAGCCACGAGTCCTCCGAGTCGCGAGGGTGTCCATTCGGGAGACTTTCCTCTTCCGATTCTTCCTCAATGTTAAACCGAACACGATTCATTGTACGAGGGCGACGTTGCCCATCCGGAGCAGGCTGAGATATCGATGATCGATATTGGTGCGAACCAGGAGGAGCAGAAGGAGCAGAAGGAGCAGAAGGGGAGGTCAGGGGAGGACTGTTTGTAAGGGGACGGCTTGTCCGATCGGTTTCTTTGCTCGGAGATCCCAAGAGCAACGATTGAGATTCTCTCCCATCTGGACCATAATGGTCAAGCAATAGAGATTCCCGTCCTTCATCCTCTTTCATTGCTGAATTTGTAGCTCATGGTAACCTCACTTTTTTACGAACAGATCGTCGTTTGGGGCCAGGTAACCACAAAGATTCACACGTGATGGCGCTTATCGATAAGTAGACAAAGCAAGCCTACAGCCAATCACAGCTACAAGTTATACTTTCACGTCACAGGGCTAATCTGCTAAACATTTGGGCCATATTTGATCTACAATTTTTTAAATATTGGGCAGACCCAGGTTGAATACAAAAGTAAGCATGTGCTAGTTCCATGAAAATATCTGCTGTGCTGGGTAAAAATTCAATACCTAACAATCATTGTTACAGCCCTACTGCAATGATTATATCATAGTATGATTGCAGTAGTATGTTTATTGAATACAGTACATACCAGTAAATCAGAACGATGAGTTGCTTGATAGGTACCTACATATTTAAATGTACCTGGCCGTGACGGCAGCTGTATGTCTCCCCATTTAATAAGGTAATGCAAATACCCCTGCGTGAAGAAGGCTAAGGCACACAGAACATTTGCTAATCCAGTCCCTTGATTACTGCTCGGAGAATCATCAAACTAAGCATCGAGTCATTATTTGCCATGGCCCTGGTCATTGACCTAGGGCAAGATACAATCCATGTCTCGCACTCCAATTCAGATTTGTCTCTGAAGCTACGTGCGTCGTTGGACATATCTCTTGCAGGAGATTTGGATTCTGGACAGCTTGAAGTTCCCAAGGAATTGATAAATTCTGGATTGATATGGATAGCCCAGTCACCAGAAATCAAAATGCATGTCGTCGCTACTGCCAGATCTCATCTCCCTAAATCAGTTCCATCTTTCATCTCTCACGTAGGAGATATTATTCGCAAGTCGAAAGTACGTTATCACGGAGCAAAAGCCACTTACACAGGGCTGTGATTGACCCATTTACTGACAGACGCCCTGCAGCTCTGGTCAGATTTGGATCTTGCTGTCCTGCTCAGAAGTTGCGACCATTTTACCGGATCGGACAATTCAACGATCATCAAGCTTTCCTTTGGATTGCGAAGAAAGGCTGGACGGCTGTCAACAAACAGAATCCGCCGAGTACCAATATCAGCGCAACACGACGGGGATGCTGCTCCTCCTGCGAATATTCGCACAGCATACTTGTCTACGATAAACGTGTTCCTTGAAGTCCATGACTCGAACCAAGCCAGACAGGAATACTTCCGATTAGCGCCGACCCCGCCAATCTCAATATCTCCCGAAACATTTATAGCAAATTCCAAGCAATGGAGTACAATAAAAAGCCTGCAAGGCTTTCCGAAACTTCCTGTGACGCAAGCAGACTGCGTAGACGAATTCATGGACAGCAGCACACGGTTGTTCTTGGACGAGCTTGAGGATATGAAAGACGACTTCCGAATGGAGGAAACCCGCGATAGTCAGATTCACCACGAGCTTGATCAGCTGCTCAGGAAAGGCCTTCAACCGCTCATAGTTGAAGCACATCAGCAGAGTGATACAGGCACTCAGAGCTCAGGAGATAGGGCTCTCCAACCCCTGTCACGCATTGTGCCTTCGGTGTTCAGCTTAGGCTACCGTGAGGTACTGTTCTGGAATGGCTTTCATCAAGAAGGGCGCATACAACTGACACACATTTCTCCACCCACAGGCCATGAACCAGCGATCCCACTTGATTCCGTCCATCGCGAAGTCCCTAGCTTCAATGCTGAAGACGACGACGAACCCGACTTTGCAGAGCAGAATCAACAACCTTCAAGCTTTGCATAATCCTCGAACAGAAGCGTCTCAAGCACCAGGGTCGACCGACTTCAGAGCAGCAATACAGACTGCCCTCTGGAAGATCGCCCAAAAACAACTATATGATTCCCGGGCTTCGCGGAAATTGAGTGCATCAGATGCCGTGACTACTTCCGCCAATGATTACAGAGGAGCTGAAGAGGGTCTTTTATCGGAAGTAGGCATGGATGACTTCCACGATGATCCAAACAGTGAGAATCACGAGATATGCGATTCCGATAGTTATTTGGGAAGCAATTCTGAGGATCTGGAGTTCATGAAAGAAGACGAAACGAACTCAGTCTTATCATTTGATGGAAATTATTCACACCATTCAATTGATATGCTGGAACATGACGATACAGAACTTGATCGAATTTGGGAAGACCAGACAATAGTTGACCATACCCAAAGCAGAACCACAATATCCGTGCTCAATCTTTCAGAGCAACTCTCCTGCCACCTTTCCATAAGTGATGGCGAGATGCTGGCATCGGACTGCTTTCAAGATGAACCTACGAGCCCACAACTTCTTCCCGATAGCTCTAGCTTCGCGGGGACTTGTGAGTCTTCCGATGAGGACTGTGACCTGATGCTGTGCGACCACAATTGGGTTCTATAATTTGTAATTAACAGGTTGTCGACTGCAGGGTATCTATCCGCATGGATGACCGTCTACAGTATATACATTATTAACTACATAGCGTTACTACAAATTGACACGTTTCAAATAGGCCCAATAGGCCGCGTTCTCAATCAAGAGGATCCAACTTCAGCCAAAGAGGATTTGGGTACTCATTGTGTTCTATTAAGATAATAAGAGAAGATACCAGTACAGCCATCGATTATCCATCTATTCTCAGACAAAGTAAGACAAACCCACACCCTAATTTATAACATTAGCCCGAATTACCGTCCATTCGCAACACCATACACCGAACACGCCACTGTCGCATCAGTCAATAAAGTGTAGGGTATCTGACAGAGAGATCACGGTCAATTATAAGCCAACATGCGCCGTCCCAATGCACCTTCGTGCTCCGTACTCCATGCAGTCAAATTGTTTCGACGTCGGTACAGTCGTACTCGCCGAAGACATTCAGTCCTTCATCAGATAGTGTCATAGTCATGCAAAGTGCACTACGTCCATCACATAGCGTCGGACTTGTGAAATACACTGGCAGAAGAATGTCTACTGCCTCTCGGGGTATTTTCGTCCTCGACTACTTCTTCGCGAAGCGGATTGAGCATTACACCAGCCGGCCATGAGCTTGCACCAGAAGAAACAGCGAGGGGTCTGAGTCTGGTGTCATCGAAAAGTTCAATGAATCGTTCGTCGAGGGGCCTTGATTTCGGCCACGAAAAATTGATGTATTCCTTGCGAATAGCTGGCATGTCCCAGCCCTGAACCTTCCGAAAGCAGCCGACAATGCATCCAGTCCGGTGCTATCAAATCTTGTTAGTCAGATCTAATTTGTATTATCGGCCTTTGCGCTCACCTTCCCCTTGTTGCAGTGTAGAAGGAGTGGGTGATTGGCCTTGTTGAGCATAATTTCCAGGACTCGATTCACGACATGGTCCGGAGTTCGAATCGTGGGATCCTTGTTTGCCAGGATAAGAATGCGACGATGCTCTATACCGTTCTCTTCGAGAAAGACCTGGTGGTCCTGAGTGTAGTCCCCTTCAACTAACGTACTATGTGGACAAGCGTAAGGAAGGGGTAATGATCTTATATGGCGGCCACTTACACCATCATCCTGAGGCCCAGCTTCTTTAGTGCTTGGAAATGCCAAGGTTGCGGAAAAGAGCTTCTATAGACCCCTTTGACAACCTCTCCGAAATTTGGAGGCAACTTTTCAGTGTGGATGATCTCCGACTCCAATGATGTTTCTCTAAGACGAGTCCTTTCGCCTGGTTGACGCGGTGTAATCAGTAAACGGCTCACTGCAAAGGTCAATAACAAAGGGAAGAATGCTCACCCGCTTTAGCCCTGAGGGAGCTATTGGAAGACTTCTCACTAAGCGGTTTAGCCATCGTAATGTTTTCTTTGAGACAGATGAAATTCAGTGCAGCCTTGACGCGTCTTGGTGGTCTCAACGCTCCCTTGTTTGACGGGAACCTTCAGGCGCCTGTGATATGCCTCGAGACAGGGGAATACAGAGCAACGAGCTTTGAGACGTGCCTACCAACCCAGGAATCTGGATACAGCGGGTTCCAAGGCAGATTGTAAGAGTGCCTTCGGAACGGACGTCAGTTCTATGGGAGAGTCAGAGGATAGAAAGTCGATGGCCCGATGAACCGGTGTTCAGTCAAACAGAAAAAGCTTGAAGAGAGGCCATGATGGAGGTATTCGAGAGTGTCAGGAGACAGGATGGATAAGCGAGAAAGAGAATAGATCAGTGAGTAGGGTATCTCCGTTGTCTCGTCAATAACAACAACAAAGACAGTGAGACAGACTTTTGAAGAAGTATGGGCGGTGAGCTACTGGAGGAGGGATATCAACAAAGTGAATGACACAGTCTGACAAAAACCACGCTAGCACGAGCTTGACCTGCGATATCTGGCATGAAACAGGCCTATATTGTAGCCTAGGAAACAAGATCTGGCTGAAGGCGTTCAGCAATTGCAAGTGAAAAACATGGCTACCAACTTCTGTCCCAGCATATTGCTCCAACAAAGATAACCTCATATTGAGTCCGTTATAGTCCAGGCTCAGAATATCATGGCAGGAGCAAACAGTCACAGTTGAAGTCGCTTCTCTGTTGAGTCACTTTCGTGGTGATTGGAAAATGGACTGCTTTCTTTGTCAGACGGTGCCAACTTTGTAAATCGACGCCTGAAACGTTCGAATCAGAAGAGCTTCGGTCAGTTTGAATCAGACAGCTTGGCCATGAACATTGGAAAGCAAAGTTCATACGGAGTCAAAGTTTGGGTATGGACAGAATGACGGGGCTTGACAAATCCCAAGCAACTGTTTCCCTCCCCTTCCGGTGAGCAGCTTCAAAACACGGAGAGCAAAGAGTTACGAGACTTCCTCCCCGAGTCCGAACATTCTTATCGAGTTATTCCAAGCCCTAAGGATGGAGAAGTCAGCTCCTTGGTGGCCAAAAGTTTCAATCCGAATAACCTACGCCTCGCAAACCTCCTCCGCTGTAATATCTTTTAATTTAGCGATGACATGGGCGACATGGGCTATCGCAACGGGTTCATTGCGGCCCTTGACCATAAGGCCTTTCTGCCATTTCTCCTTCTTGACTGCCTTGGGCAATGCGGGAGAACCCTCCAGGTACTTAGCGGATGCGTGAGAGGGCCGGATCTCGCACTAAGGATATGCCGTCAGAGAGGAAAGAATGTGAGGATGTTGCAAGGGAGATGAGAACTCCATACCCATGGACCATCTGTCTCTATCTGGATTCGATCAAGCGGGATAGCTTTCACCACCTCCAGGTTCTCCTCCGTCTTCAGGCTGCATCCGTTGACACCGACGTCCAAACCCAGCGCCAGCATCCGTTTCATCTCGTCCATTGTCCCTGTAAAACTGTGCGCCAAGCCTTTCTTGGGAAGTTTCTCCAGTCTGGGAGCTAGCAACTTCTCAAAATCCTCACTGGCAGCTCTGGAATGAAGAAAGAGCGGGAGCTGTATTTCCACCGCAAGATCCAGTTGAGCTTCGAAATATTTCAGCTGAGGTTCTTTGGCGCTGAGGAACAGTCGGTCATAGTCTAGACCGATTTCACCGAATGCAACAGCATGCCCGGCTGCTTTTGCTTCCAGCGCCAGAGACTTCAGCTCCTCCAACATCTTGTCTGGACCACCAGGAAATTCATCGAAGAGCTTTGCTTGACATGGATGAACACCAACAGTTGCGTAACAGAAACCGGCTGGTAGCCGAGCTTGTTAGGCTTGATAGCACGAAGAAACAAAGGGTAAGGGAAGTTGTGTGTGCAACTTACGGTAACTTTGAGCAAGCTGAATAGCATGCCGAGATTCTACTAGATCTGAACCAGTCACCATGAACTTTGTGCACCCCACATCGCGGGCACGCTGAATGACATCGTCAAGGTCATTGTCATGAACCTGCCTGCCGTGATATTCTCCTCGAAATACAGGGTCACCGAGGTTGATTCCAATCTAGAAGCAATCAATATTAGCAACAGTCGTTGTAGATATGCGATGCTTGTGAAGAGACACTTACGTCGACATATCTCAAAGGCTTGTTAGAATCACTCATCTTGACTCTGGCCGGTACTCTATTCAGAACAGCAGAACGGTAATATCTTTTGCTGTTAGAGAGAGAATAGGAGGATGTACGTCCTGGCTTCAGCAGACTACTCCCCGAGACTGCATTTATCGGTGAGCCAGTCTGCAATAATACCGTTTCCAATCCATTTAATTAAGCAGAGGAGCACTCCTTCCGCTGTGGGATTGAATTTAACCGTCTAAACATACCTGGGCAATCTTCAGGGCAACTCAAAGGCAGTTGCGAGTGTAGATTGAGGGACTTTTCTCTGAGCCTGAATCCTACGCAACCGAGGAAAGAGGTACAATTACTATTCCCGACAGCCTTCAGAATATTGCCTACGCTGTGATTCACACGCATCAGACAATGAGTCACTTCGTTGAAGATGTACGAAGTTACTCCGAGCACTGTCCGTGGGCAATATTAGATTCCTGTCAAGTAGATATCATGTGCCGGAATACTTTGATTAGATTTCTCCCAAATTGTGTCCCAGTACTCCGTAGTTCTTAGCCACAGATCTCCTGTGCCCCTGTGTGGCTGGAGAAAAAGCACGTGGTAAATTACATAAGCCCTTCCCGGAGCGAAACCCGATGTCGACTGGTTTTGTCGGCGATGCCCCCGATGCTTTCGACCGAGAAACTGGCAGTTCGGTGCACGAGAGAAGCGCAAGAATCGGTGTCTGCAACAATTGAAGCGCAGCTATGCTCTGCTTCATGAAGAAAAGCAACTGGGAGTAGAGACAGGTAAAGTGGGTTGCCTCTTTTGTATCCATCTCTGCTGAGTTACCGGAATACATTGGGACGCAAAGGTTCCCCCATGGTTCCCCCTTTTGTTGTGATTACTTGAGGCATCAAGAATCATTGTGAGAACGAACAGATAGCACTCTCGGTAGCTCTGATCCCGAATTTCCCAAGGCAACTTTGATAATTTGATTCGTGGATCCGTCAGCCCTTCCTTAATTGTTCATGCTTTACAAGCACTTCGGGCTAGTTGTGAACCCCCAAACGCGGCACTAAGGCCCCTGTGGAGCAAAATTCACTTCTCCGCACTCTGCTTAGGCCCTTGTGGAGAGCTCTCCGAAGTGCAATGCAGCTACAGTCTATATATAACCAACAGCGCCTCTCAATATTCGTTTCAGGCTCATCTCCTGCAGTTGCTCGAGTATAATCACTCTGACTTGGAGTCTTCGAAAGGATTTGTCCTGCAAACCACTAATCTGCGCGAATTTCAGGAAAGTAAAGATGGCGGGCGAGAAGCTTCTATCCACTAAAGAGGTGTCGAAACACAAATCGCCTGATGATTGTTGGATCGTTGTTGATAATAAAGTATGGGACATGACTGATTTTTTGGAGGAACATCCTGGAGGGTCAACAAGTAAGATTTGCCGGTTATTATGCTGGGCACTGAACTCAGAAAGCTTACGTTGTTCAGTCATTCTGAAATACGCGGGCCGTGATGCCACCAAGGCCTACTCAGAGGTTCACTCTCCTGGTGTCATCAAATCAAATCTACCGCCAGAGAAGTACAAGGGAATCCTCGACACGTCCGCAATCGATGAAGAATGGCTCAAACAGCCTCCCAGCGAGAATCCACAGGTCGTCCTGGACAACGAGAAGCCGCCCTTGCACACTCTGATCAACTCACACGATTTCGAACTGGTGGCGTCCAAGACGGCAAGCAAAAAGACGTGGGCGTTTTATTCCAGCGCCTCGACCGATCTCATCACTCGCGATGCGAATAAATCTTGCTTCGACAGGATCTGGTTTCGACCTCGCGTCCTCAGAAACGTTCGATCCGTGGATTCAAGAACAAGGATTCTCGGCGTCGATTGTAGCATGCCGTTGTTCGTAAGCCCGGCTGCTATGGCTAAGCTTATTCATCCGGATGGAGAGTGCGCGATTGCCAGGGCATGTGAGCGCAAAGGTATCATGCAAGGAGTACGTCATGATCTTATATTCCATTCCGTCCCATTGCACAATGTCAAGCTCTAGTGCTCATTATTGGGCAGGTTTCCAACAATTCTTCGTACACTCTGGATCAACTGAAAGAAGCGGCTCCTTCGGCAAATTTCTTCTTCCAACTGTACGTCAATCGAGACAGATCAAAGTCTGCAGCGCTTCTTCATCAATGCTCGGCAAATCCGAACGTCAAGGCAATCTTTGTGACAGTCGATGCTGCATGGCCAGGCAAACGGGAAGCGGATGAGCGAGTAAAAGCCGATGAGAACTTGTCTGTGCCAATGGCACCGGCGCAAGCGAAGAACGACAAGAAGGGCGGCGGTCTTGGACGTGTTATGGCCGGCTTCATTGACCCTGGACTGACTTGGGATGACTTGGTGTGGGTTCGAAAGCACACGCATTTACCCGTGTGTCTGAAGGGAGTGATGTCTGCGGATGACGCGATCTTGGCGATGCAGGCTGGATTGGATGGCATTCTTCTCAGCAATCACGGAGGTCGCAATCTTGACACGAGCCCTCCCTCGATAGTCACTCTACTTGAACTTCACAAGCGCTGTCCAG